GTCAAACAGGATCACAAACTGACTTATCCCCTCTGGTCACTCATTCTATTGGGTGATTTTACATACCCTATTTGCATAGTAAATTGATCAATCCCTATAAGGAATGTAAAATAGACCAATCACATGGTAGTCTGTTACTCAACCAATAATTTTTGGCAGAATTATAAACCCCAAACCAGAAAGGCCAGATAAAAAGAAATCCATTGCTCTGCACCTTGGTAAGGAGATTTGAAGCCATGTGGTGTCAGCTCCATCAATTGTGAAATTTTCAAAGTTCTTTGTTTCTTTCTCATCCTACATTTTACAGTCTTTCTTTTTGTTGTGTTGTTATTGTTAAGTGCTGTCAAGTCGATTCCGACCCATAGCAACCCTGTATAAGGTTTCCAAGGAGCAGCTGGTGAGTTTGAACCACCGACCTTGAGGTTCAAACGACTTTGCAGTCTGACACATTCGCCCACAGCACCACACCAGGACTCCTCTTTCTGTTGTTGTTGTTGTTATGTGCCGTGGAGTTGGTTCTGACTCATAGTGACCCTGTACAGGGTTTCTGAGGCTGTACATCTTTATGGGAGCTGAGAACCTCATCTCTCTCCCGCAGAACAGTTGGTAGCTTCGAACTGCTGACCTTGAGAATAGCAGCCCAATTCGTAACCACTACACTACCAGAGCTCCTTCTTTTTGTTGTGTTGTTTTTGTTGTTAAGTGTCGTCGAGTCGATTCCGGCCCATAGCAACCTGTACAGGGTTTCCGAGGAGCAGCTGGTGAACTTGAACCACTGACCTTGCAGTTTAAACGGTTTTGCAGTCTGGTGCATTAACCCACAGCACCATACCAAGACTCCTCTTTTTGTTGTAGTGAGGGATAAATTAGATAGTGTCCAGCTCCCTGGACTTGCAGATTTGTACACGGTAACAGTGGTGCCTGTAGTTCTTTACAAACCTCCATATACTTTTTTAAAACTGTAGAAATCTTTGTTGAAATGAAATGTTAACCAGACCTTAACTTTAAAAAAAAAGGAGTTGGTTTCTTTCAACAGTAGTTCTCACTTGAGGGCGATTTTGCCCAAAGAATATCTGGCAATGTCTGGAGACATTTTTATTGTGATGACTGGGGTGAGTTTATGTATGCTACTGGCATCTAGTAGCATCTAATACCCAGAGATACTGAGAAACATTCTACAGTGTACCGGCAGTCCCTACATAACAAAGAATTCTCTGGCCTGAAATGTCAATAGTGTCACTGTTGAGAAATTCTGTTCTAAGGGAACAGGGATTAGTGTTGGGCTTATGACTGTATTCCTAGTTCACAGCATATAGTGAATATTACATAGTAGGTATTCAATATACTTCTTGAATAAGAGAATGAGGTTAGGGCCTAGAACTTAGCCTACCTATAGAAGACACAACCAACCCCTGCACAGGTTTCTATAGAGGGAGCTTTACATTTTTCAAAGCACTATCTTCTCACGGAAGGAGCTCTGGTAGCGCAGTGGTTACGAGTCAGGCTGCTAACCTCAAGGTCAGCAATTTGATTTACAGCCTCGGAAACCCTGTACAGGGTCATTATGAGTCAGAATCGACGCCATAGCACACTAGCTACCACCACAAGTACTATCTTCTGATGGCCTGCCTCTGTGCTGCTCACATCTGTCTATGGTTTCGTGTTGTTGTTTTACCTTCTTTAATTATACTAAGAGTACTTAGGTCCGAAAGAGGTACCTAGGGTACGCCACAGAATTGTGTAGCAGCCCCCAGAATACTGCCATTAAGTGACTTTTCACCTGTTTCCTATTAATCTCTCATCCCTGGCCTTCCAGGGAATGTTTGAAAGTGCATTTCAACAAGTGATTTTTCTGCAGACCATCCTACAGAGAGTTCAGAATAAACTCAACACTTCAATTGTAGTTTTATCATCCATTCTTAGATCGATTATGGCCAGTTATGGTGATGCTGTCACATCATTAGTATGGTCCTGGATGTTTCTTGTGGCATGACAGCATAGGCTGGGGTGGTGATCACTAACTACACTTTGAGAACTTGAAAGTGTTCTGATTAACAGTAAGGCGTATCAAAAGTAAGTAATTAATACAAAACTTCCTTAAAATGATTTCCTTGTTTTAATAAATAAATCCAAGATTATCCTGATCATCACTTGAATGAATCTGAGTAGTTCAGCACACAGGAAAAAAACGCCACTCAGGGAAGGTGACAATTGAGAATTAACAGCAGTTTTGTGACAAGCACTGTTTGGGGGTCTGCTCTAGTTCTTAGAGATATAAAGCATGACATGGTATAGTGCTTGCCTTCATGGACCTTACAGTCTAGTTCAGAAGACAAGGGCAAAGACTAAACATTAAAGAATAAACAGCAGCATGTGCTATATGCACAGTGTAGACAGGAAATACTATAGGGACCCCAAACAGGTTGAAGGAATCAAGGAAGGCACCTTGGCAAATAAGGTCTTGGTGTGGGCCAAGACCACAAATCCCTTTTCTGGGACACAAACTTGGGAGATTCTCCTAAAAGCAAGGATGGCTTGCAGAGCTGTCAGTTTACCCCAGGATGTTCAGAGCTAAGGTCAAGTTGCATCATGCATCATGATCTGAGAAAGAAATTTATCCCCCAGCAAAGACCAACTCTGTTCCCCACTATTCAGATCAAACAGGGCCTTGAATTCCAAGATGGGTGTTTATCCTTCAAGCAGAAGTTACTGGGGTGAAAACAGTTTTTATGTACTGGAGTAGGGTAGGAAGTGGTGTTGAAGAAGCTACTCCCAAGAGAATGGGGTACATAAGGATACTGGTTTTGAAGAAGCACTCCCAAGAGAATGGGATGTGTAAGGGTGCTGTGGTGGTGGTGGCTATGTGCCGTGGAATTGGTTCCGACTCACAGTGACCCTGTACAGGGTTTCCGAGGCTGTAAATATTTACGGGAACAGAAAGCCACATCGTTCTCCCGCGGAACAGCTGGCAGTTTCAAACTGCTGACCTTAAGGTTCGCAGCCCGATTCGTAGTATACATCAATACCTTAATACTTTACTTCAGGCTTTCCTGAAGGTAAGCTCTGCCCAGGTACTGGGGCTGTAGATCTCAGAGAAGTCCTGACTTTGTGGGCTGGGCAGAAGGGCAGAGTGTCAAGGCAAGCCCAGGTAGCAAGGATGGGTCATTTGACCCCTAAGCCCATGAGTCTAACCAGACCACTTTCATGTTCAGGTCCTTTGGGAAGAAGAAGCTGGAGTTGTAAGCCTGCAAGCTGCTTGTGACTCCTTCTCCAGCCAGAAGAAAGAATAAAGACAAGGCACAGAGCAAGATGGAGAAGAGGAGGGGCCCACCTGTATTTCAGACCTTCAGTGATGACAGTGAGTCAGTTTGGGAGTCCTTTTTGTCTGTATGTATTACATTTTAGTAGTATTTCTGTTACTTGATAGTAAAAGTGGCCTGAACAATATATCAGTGAAAATCTGCTCTCAAGAAGGATCTAATAAATCAATTTATTCAGTGAATTCATCCCTGCTGAAAGTTTAATCTGTTTCTCTGTTAGGAGGATTTGCATTTTTAAAACTTTAGCAATTGAATGAAGTTTAAATTGTGGATTTTTACTTATCAACTCTTTTTTTTTTTAGTTTTATAAATAGTTTTATTAAAGGTTATATTGACCAGAAAATTAAGTAAAACTTTTATATAAAAAGAAAATCTGTTTAAATATACCTTATAAATATAACATTCTGACAGTATGTTGTCATAAATAGTAAAGACTCTAAAGTATTTTTATTATGATGACTGTCTAAAAATTTACTGGAAAGACATTCATATATAAGGTAACTGGAAAACATCAGAACGCTACTAAGAATCGAGATACTAAAATAAAATATTTTCCTGTGGAATATTAAGAGTGGATAGTAAGAGTGGCTTTCAGATCTTTTAGTGTATGCAAAAACAGAGGAAATGCTCCGTGTTTTGTCAACTGAAAGGAAATCTTTAACTGTCCAGAGGAAATGTCTTGCCTTTAAAGTAATTGAAATAGCAGGAGGTGATATCCGCTTGTTCCATAGGAAGACTTTGTCCTTAACTTTACTAGACATTAAAGCATGAAGGAATCACTAGCCCAAAAGTGACGAATGCACCACCACAGAGAGCCTGTTTTGTTTCCCTAGAATCATCTAGGTATTAACTCTTTTTTTTTAGGTAATAAGTCTTGAAGGATTTTTATTTCATTTTTTTGAGATGTATACGGCTTCTTGGCAGGCCTTAAAATCAATAGGCCAAAACAGGATTGCTGATCCTAGCAGAGCTACAACTGATGCGGATAGCCTTTGCAGGTATATATGAATCTCCTAAAGTCTTTCCCTAGAGTAATGGTGCTGTTCTGATTGTGACTAACATTTTCTCCCTGTTGTTGATAAGTGTTGTTGAGTTGGTTCCAACCCATAGAGACCCTGTATAGGGTTTCCAAGGATTGGCTAGAGGGTTTGAATTGCAGACCTTGAGGTCAGCAGTCCAGTGCTTATCCTATAACACAGCACCAGTACATGTTATTATTTGAAATGGGAAACTGAGGATTACAATCCTAGACTTATCACATGTCTACTTGCGCAAGCTGTGGTGCCTCTGAAAACCTCGATTTCCTCACTGTAAAGTGAAAACTATATAAACACTTAGCTCTACAGTAGAAATGATTCTCTAAATGTGAAAATGCTTGATAAAGGGCAAAATTCTATACAAATGAGTCATGGTGCAGTCTCCTAGTGACTGAGGTAGGGGAGTGGGGATGGTAACTTAGAAAAATCCTGTTTTTACTTGAGCACTGATAATCAACTTACTCAGTCTCAAAACTATCTAAAAGGTAACTAAACCATGTCCTGTGAAAAGAGTGCATTAGAGGTTTTGGTTTCCTGAGTGTGCCTAGAGAATGGGGATGTGAGGACAGCCATAGCAAAGTTGGCACAAACCAACTGGTGGACTAGAATCCAGGCTTTCCTGTCAAGGAGGGGGCTCTCTTACCAGGTTGATATCATTAGCTTCCATGTGCTGGAGGAGGGCGCTGGCCACGTGTTCTGTGTCCCACTGCACACTTGGGTCATCTGGAAAAGCCCTGAAAAGGAGAAGTACAACTTGAATACCTTCTCCCATCAGGTGCAAAGTTCTTCCTAGCTCTAGTAGGTCTGGGCCCAGTTTTGTATTAGGAATTGTAAGGGGTGAGGGGTCCCTATTCTTAAAGTACTTAGATTTCATTAAAGAATTAAGATTTATAAACATAAAATTACCAGAAATCAATACACAAGTTCCCACACAATACCTGGGGAGCTTGTGCTATGCTTGTTGCTGAGGGGCAGAAAGAAGACCTCACTGAAACACACTGTGAAAGATCTAACAAGATCACAACGTGGAGCTTGACTTCTCAATCAGAGACAAATGAGGGGCCTTTTTTCTACTTCATCACTCTACACTTCAGTCAGGTGGTGTTTTTTGATAAGAAACTAGAAAAGGAGAACTACGAATATAAAGGCCGAAAGTCCAAGGTCATTCACCAAAGGAAGTGTGAGGACTTTGCACAATTTGTAGTGCAAACATACTTGGTTGCTCACCAGAAGGTTGGAGATTTCACTTCACCCAGAAGTCCTTGGGAAGAAAGCCCTAGTAACTGGTTTCTGAAAAATGAATTCCTGAAAACCTAAGGAATGCAGGTCTATTCTGACATAGTGTTACCATGAATTGGAGTTGACTTGCTGGCAACTGGTTATTAAAAGTAAAAACAGGAAAATAAAAAGAAAGAAATGCAAATTACCAACATATATTCTTTCTTCTCAGAATCAAAGAAGTGTAAAATTAAGGCAAGAAAGCTGTAGTACAGAAGAGAAAGACTAGTGTGAGTTAAAATGACTAAATCTCAATCAGAAGGCAATTTGGCAGTGTGTGATTATCCATGCCCTCTGACCTAGTACGTCCAGAAATTTACCCAAAGGAAATAATTAGAGTTTGTAAAGGTCAAGATTAGCTTCGTAGTGTGCCTTGGAGTTGGTTCTTACTCATAATGACCCTGTATGGGGTTTCCCGAGGCTGTAAATCTTTATGGGAGCAGAAAGCCTCATCTTTCTCCTGCAGAAAGGCTGGTAGTTTTAAACTGCTGATTTTGAGGTTAGCAGCCCGACTCATAACCACTACGCTACCAGAGCTCCTTAAGATCAGCTTTAGGCAGAGACACTACTTTCTGTGTGCACAGAGGTAGACTTATATTTTTCTGTGAAGTACCATGGAGCACTTTTTCTAACATCCTAAACTGTGGTTTATGAAAAATGCTAAAGATAAATACAAGAGGGCTTTTTTGTTTGTTTGTTTCATGTTTGAAATAAAAGCAAAGCCAGTACAGACACATGCAAAAGGCAAAGCATATTAATGTATACCAGAAAAGAAATACAGTTACTAAACTTTAAAGTTGCTTTTGACTTTTCAGCCAAAAAGAGTGAGACTCAAATGCCAGAGAAATACAAGCATGTTAAAATAAAGGAATTGAATCTTAAAAACAAAGTAAGTGTGTAAGAGAAACTTCTAGAATGTATTCAAGGCTCCAGATATTCTAACCTCCATTCCCCAGAAAGCAGAGACTTTATGTAGCCTTATGTCTGATGTCTGGGAGCAGGAGTGACAGGAAGAGAAGCAGGAAGAGCCCAGCTTAAGGGTATTGGCTCTTACAAGACTGACTGAGTTGTATGAACAGCATCTCAGAAGCACACGCCGTCCAGGAGGAGAAAGAGGGAGGTATTTACCTGCTGGCTCCTAATTCACAGCGCCCATTTCCACAAAGATTCACTCCATAGGGTGTTACTTCAGGTTTGTGCACCCTTGGGCACCTTAGATTCTGAGCACAGAGAAACTCTGGGGCAGAAAGCAAGAAGTGTAGAGCGGGCCTGATAGGAGGATCTGTCCGACTGGTCTAGCCTGGGGTTGGTGGGAGTCTGCACAGACTTGACAGGAAAGAAAGGTCCTCAACCAGCCCCCTGTGCTACATTTTTGGGATACAAACATGAATACAAGTCATGGCAACTGATGTAAGATTGAAAATAGGCAATATACAAAGTAAGAAATGCAAACTATCTACATATTCCTTCTGCCTCTCAGAACCAAGAAATGCAAAATGAAAGCCAGATAGCTGTGTGGAGAAGGGTGCTGGGAAAGGCCAGTGGTGCTGAGGTTTGGGCTGCTGCTGGGTAAGAAAGCATTTGCTAGAGAAAGGAGAGAGGGGCAGGGAAGGAGGCAGGAATTCTAGGGGGAGGTAGCAGCATGTAAGTGCTGTTGTAAGTGCTGTCCAGTTGGTTCCGACTCATAGCAACCGAGGGGCGACTGGTGAGCTTGAACGGCCAGGCCAACCTTGCTGTTCAAACAGATCTTACAGTCAGGTGCATTAACCTACAGCACCACACCAGGCCTCCATGGCTTGTTTAGGGCACACTTAACCTGTAGTTTGAGGCATATGAAGCACCTCCAGGAGATGACAGGATTAAACTCTGAGGAGAACAATACTGGTATTTTAGAAATAAACATAACAGAGGAAGCTGATTCTTGCCAATCTTTTGTTATAATACATATTAGCCTGACAACCCCTTTTCTGGGTGTATTTAGCAAACAGTGCTAATACCAAAACAAGCTAGGCCTCTAGGCCCCTTAAGAGTTCATTAAAAGTATGTTTGTTTCCCTACTTGCTGGATATCCTCCTGCCTTTCCTGTGAATTAAAAAAAAAAACAAAACAAAACAAAAAACAAACAGGTTATTGTGTCTGCTATGAAGGTTTACACAGCAGTTTAGGTTCCCATTCAACAATTTCTACCCAAGTTGTTTGTTCAGTGGCATTGGTGAGTCTTCACAGTGTGTGAACAGTCTCATTATTCCGTTCTGATTGTTCCGTTTTCCCTACACATTTTAATGATTTCGCCTGGCCAGCACTCTTTAGAAGTCTGTCCAGAAAGTCAGGGAAATGCTTTATGGTCACTAAGCTCTGGCAGGGAATGCTGGTGGGTGAAAGTCTTCCTTCCCTCCCCCAGAGCAAAGGCAGACTACACAGAGTCTTTGCTGCTGGAACTTGACCAAGGTTGGGTAATAGCTTATCTCTTCTGAAAACCAAGTCCCACTTTTGCACACTGCACTCTGAACTTTAATACAGACAGAGGAGGCGTACACTCCCTTATTTGGCCTTGTGGCTAGTGCAGCCCCAACAGGAAGGTTCAGCCTGTCCCGCCTCCCTCCCCACCTCCAGCACATTTCTAAACTAAATGACTTCCTTTGTCATCCAAAGCAGGCAAAGGTCAGTAGTCTAACATTAAGGCACGCAGAGACCTTAGAAGATTACCTGGGCTCTGTTCTATCCCGGGGCATCTGACTACTCATACTGCAGCCCAGTGGGACATTCTGGGAGGCAATCCGGTATCTTACAGCTCTGAAGATAAGCTGGTGTGTGGATGCTGAAGTATGAGGGAAACCAAGAACTAGACAGTAGAGGACTCAAATCTAAGCTGCTGGAAGGAGATATGACACACTAAGGTGAAGTCAGGCAAGTGTCTCTGGATCACTAACAACTAGCTAAAGATAAACAAAGAGGAAAAGAAACAAGAAGGAAAAGGAAATGAGTACTGAAAAAAGAGGTACCTAAAACCAAACTTTCATTCAGTATTTGCTCAAATAAGTGCCCCATCCTCAGGCAGCTTGTTGTTGTTGTTGTTGTTAAGTGCCATCGAGTCGGGTCCGACCCATAGCGACCCTGTACAGGGTTTCCGAGGGTGTAAATC